AAGCCCTAATCCCTAAAACCCTAAACTCTAAAGCCCTAAACCCTAAACCCTAAAGCCCTAAACATCTCTTCTCAAGGCTGACTCCCACGCTTTTCAGCCTTCGAGAAGCAATAAACCTTTGCTGCTTGCATTATTGCGGTTGCGCCTAACACTAGCTCCTTTGTGCATGTTCAGGTTAATGTTGCGTGTTGGGCTTAGCTGTGTTTTGCCGCAGAAGCCCGTGCACAAAACTGCCAGTAGCAACTAGCAACATAAGGGAGGGGCCATAGAATCAGAACAGTCGAAAACCAGCACTGACAGCTCTTAGTTTAATGACAGCCAACAGTACATGGTAATCCCTGACACAAGTCCAAACTCCCTGTTATCCTGTATGCCAGTATTTCAAGCGGAAGCGGTGGCTGTTCATCCATTCTGCCGTGTTGCAGCTACCAACTCGCCTGAGCTAGGGCAAGACCAACAACGACATGCTCAAGCGCATCATGGATGTGAAGGCCGGTAGAGGAAGTATTCCTGCGTCAATGAGCTTGGGGGTTGTGTATTTATGTGTGTGTGTATATATATATATATGTTTTTCTTCTGTGTATGAATATAATGAAGTTAGAAACCCGCATATATATATATACATATATATATATATACATACATATATACATATACATATAGAGACTTTTCTATGAATGTAGAACAAGAGATAGATACGTAAACTAATCATACACACACACACACACATATATATATATATATGTACAGATGTGTTCAGATCAATCCTCGATCATTCTCTCGCACACAAAGTTTAGCGTGTGAGTAGGGCGTCGGGACATAGTCCACCAATCTTCCGGAATCGACCGCAGCATTTCTGAGGATTTGCACACAGGGTTGGGAGCTGAGGGATGGTTTCGGAATGGTTTATATAAGCTGTTGTCTATAAACCCCTAAACCCTAAACCTTCAACACTAAAACCCTAAGACCCTAAACCCTAAACCCTAAACCCTAAACACTAAAACCCTAAACCCTAAACCCTGAAACCCTAAACCCTAAACCCTGAAACCCTAAGCCCTATAAGCCTGCCTCAGGGGAAGATCCCCAAGAACGTGATTCGCAAGGGCGCGGTCTGGAAGAATCATTTCGATGAGAACCTGGACTTCAAGCGGCTCGGTGCTGCCTTGGGGGTAGAAGCCTGAATAATTGGGGTTTAGGGTGTAGGGTTTAATATACTATTCCTTAGGTTCCTTATTCTATTTATAGTATAATGGGCCACAAAACCGAATTCTAGTTGTTAAGGCCCCATAATAACTCTTTTAACATGTTGGGAGTACTGCAACCCTAAATATACTGAATTATATACCCCAAGTGTTAGTTACCCATGATTTCGCCTGTGAAACCGACAAGTCAGGTAGTTTGGGACTGAGATTTTGGGCTTAGGGTGTATCTACTCCTAAGCCCACGAGGCAAGAGAGTGGAAGCCTCTGAGCCAGGACACCGCTAATCCCTTCCTCTAATATTATACGGGGAGGGCCCCCCCCCAATTCCCGATTCAACATTTTAAAGTCATAAGGGATGAGTTTATCCCTACTTTCCCATTCGAAATAGGTTTTACAGGGCGCGGGATGATTTCGGGGGGGGATTTTCCGAGTGGGTTTTTTTATAAACGGGGGAACGGAGTGGTGGTAGAAGCGTGATGCTTCCGCGTCGTGCCGTGCGGCAGCTTCCTGATTCGCCCCCGAACGCTTATGTAGGGGCTTTGGGAATTAGAACATGATTTTTCGGCCTCTTTATTATAATGATCATCGTATATAGAACAGTATGGTATAGTATAGTATAGTACAGTACAGTATAGTATAGTATCACTATCTACAGCGTTGCCAGTATGGAATCGGGAAGCTTATGCATCTTTTCTCGTTGGTTCACTACCTGAGAAGCCAGAACATGGGTAGTTTTCTAAATCAGGGTCCCTTTTAGGGTCCCTTGTATAAGGGTGCCGGATTATATTGGGGACCCCAAAAGGGACCCTAAGTTAGAGAACTACCCACATCCATTATGGAATCGTTCAACTCCAGGTTCGTTGACAAAGATGCCCTGTCGGGTGAGGCCAATGCCGCAGTCGGGGCGGTTTTGGGTTTAGGGTTTAGGGGCAAGAAAGTTTTCAGCTTCAGCAGTGTCTCCGAAGATTTCGGCTTGGGGCTGCCGGCTTGGGGTTTAAAGCTAAACTCTTAAAGCTCCCTTAGCTCAACACTGAAACCGCGATATTGCCGCTTTAGGGGGTACGGCTGAGCCCTCGATTAGTGAATCTGTCATCTGCAGTGGACGCCGTCGACAGGGTGGCTGTAGGCGTGAAGGATCGCGGGCTTCGGTAAGTGGGGCTAGAATCTAGGCTAGAAATTTTGCAAGCGCACTTCCTGCTCCAAAAAATGTTGTGTTGAGTGTGTAAACACCTAAGCACCGGGATGCTACATTGAAACCCTCAAGACGAACCTTCATGCAAGTGTTTGGGACTTGGAGTTGAAGGTTATGATTCAGTGAGTTTGTAGATGTGCTTACGTGGAAGGCCCTCCAGAACCAGCCCTGACTCTCTTTGTCCAACGCGACCAGTAACTTGCCTTGAACCCCAGAACCCCAAGACTCTCAGCCCTCCGCCGACAGCAAAATCAAACCCTATAAACCCTATAAACCCTCAGCCCTAAACCCTGAACCCTAAACCCCAAACCCCTGAACTACCATATGGAACCTGCAGATGCAGGGTTTTCTAACGGTAATCCTGAAGCAAAGCCCGAAACTTTCAGCCGCGGCTAGAGCTCTTCAGTGACGGGTCTAGGGTTGTTGGCTTAGGGTGTGGATCTTGAAGCCGAAAACTCTTTAATCAAGAAGCAAACCTTGGTAGAGTAAGCAACGTTTCGCCGTCTGTGGGATACGATATTCCCTGTATAATCCCACCTGTTGACTTAACAAGTAAACCATGTTGAGCACAGGGCCTTCTTATTTAGGCTCGGGCGTTGGGATATGTCGCACCATCGTTTAACTGGGACTACAACGGCATATTTCATGCTAACCCTTCCGACATCCAATTCGGGTCTAAGGGTGTAGGGATTAGCGCCGAGGGCTTTTGGGGTTTAGGGTTTAGGGTTTAGGGCTTGTAGGGTGTAGTTCTGAGGGAGTAAAAAGTTGCCGCAAGCTTTGCTGCTTGAATCTCCGAGGCTAAAATTAGCCAAACCCGAAGCCCTTAAACCCCAAGCCCTAAGCCTCTAAAACCCTAGAGCCCTAAACCCTACACCCTGAGCCTTACACCCCGAAAGCCAGCTAAACCCTGAGCTCTAAGCCCTAAACCCATAAAACCGTGAAGGAGATCGTCCGGATCGTCACGGATAACAGCTGCAAGAGGGAACTCAAGGACCCTCTGGTCGCAAAACCCGGGCCCCCGACAACCTGAGGAAAACCTTAAACCCAACCTCACTTCAGTTCTAAACCCTATAAACCCTAAACCCTAATCGTGGTAAGGCGACCCTGAACCCTACATTCACCCCCCCCCTCTCTAGATAAGGAAATCGTAATAAAGAACCTTCAAAATCATAGTACGTAACCCTCAAAAGGAAGGTTTTTGTCCGGGATTATGGTGCGGGTTCGGTCGGGCTTTGCGGTAGGATTTCGGTCGCAGGCTTGGTGGTCGGGTGGTTTAGGGTTTGGGGTTTAGGGTTCAAGTCAACGAACTAAGCCCTAAACGCTACCAGTGTCTGGCTGTCTTGTTACCGTTGTGCACCGGAGCATATGGCAAACGACCCGATAACATTTTAGAACGTTTACAAACCCGTGAAAACAAACAAGAAAAACAAAAACTCCACTTTACTCGTAGAACAGCCCAGCAGTTCCGATAAAATCCACTAGAATCACTAGAACCTTTAGAGTTTAGGGTTTAGGGTTAGTCCTCTGCAGGAGTTTCTCCTTGATCGGCTGGGTCCCGAGAAGCAGAAGTCGCAGGAGCGTGAGGATCAACAGAAACTCGGCAGAGAATTTAGTTCTTGGGAGGGTTGTAGGGCTCAGGGTTTGGGGTTTAGGGTTTCAGCAGACAATTTTTTAAGCTCTCTTTTAGGGTTCAGCTTATATATGGGGTTAAGGTTTAGGATCTAGGCTTGGGGTGTTTAGGTTTCGGGGATAGGGCTTTTTAGGTCGGTTGGTTTGGGGCTCGAGTTTCCTAATCATAGGGCATTCAAGGGTTAAATAACCCTAAACCCTAAGCCCCAAACCCTAAGCCCTACACCCTAAACCCTAAACCCTAAAACCTAAACCCTAAACCCTAAACCCTAAACCCTAAAGGGCTTCCGGTATGCTTCATGTAGTCTCTGCAGACCCCTGTTTCAGAAGCCGCGCCTCCCCTGATACGGACTAGACGGTTTAGGCTTTAGGGTTAGGGTTTAGGGTTTAGGGTTTAGGGTTTAGGGTTTAGGGTTTAGGGTTTAGGGTTTAGGGTTTAGGGTTTAGGGTTAGGGTTTAGGGCGTAGGATTTAAAGATTGAGGGTTGAAGGTTTAGGGTTTAGGGTTTAGTGTAGTGTCCTCATGTTTTCAGGCACCTACAGAGGTGGTTTTGGTTTCACTAGCCAAGGGTTCTACATGAAAGTACCAACCCAACAAGCCGACAATCATGCGATCTGGGCTTCAACAGCACAAAAGCTGCCGTCCAGCTTCCCTATTTAGCAGCACGGCTTCAAATCTTACAACCCATTCTACTCCCCCGCATGCCTTGCGCTAAGCATGTAACATGTGAGCACCGTAAACTTAGAAGTCTCGCCTAAACCCTGAACCGACACCCTACACCAGTAAACCCATTTGCAACGAGGCCTAACTCGCCTGCCGAGGTACGTGAAGAAAACTTTGCATTTTGCCGATCTGTTGGACAAGATGCGCCCTGCTTTGCAAGACGTATGTGGGGCTGGAAAGACTTTATGGTTTGGGGATGTTGGGGGTTTAGGTTTAGGACCGTTTAGGGTTCCGGGGGAAGGCCGGTAGCCTACACACAACTAGTAGGTTACCGTATTCTGGGTGTTATGGGGTTTGTCTAGAGAATAGGGAACACTATCCAAAACAAGGGTAGTGGGACGTCTTCTTTCAGCGAATGCGAGAGAATGAGAGACGTCGCCTCCTTTTGGAGCCCTTCACCTGGCATGTCGTTATAGGGGAGTTTCCGAGAATTAGGGCACCTTATTTTGGGGTCCGTGTAATAAGGATCCTACTATTTAGGGTACTATATATAAGGGTCCCCTATTTTCGGAAACGCCCATGTGGAAGCAAGTGAATCGGTACTAAGTCGTCAGATGCCCAAGGCCCACTTGTGCTGTCTATCTCTGGGTCGTAAGACACCTGGGTCGTCGAAGCTTAAGCCGCAACCGCCTATATAAACTCTCAAATGCCATGCATGCTTAATGTAGGGGCCTAAATAATTACCTAGTCTATGTTGGGAGTTCCTTAGTATAATTATGGTATAATGGGCCCCAAAACCCTACTCTAATTATCAAGGCCTATATTATATAATTACCAAGTCTATTTTGGGAGTTCCTTATTATAATTATGGTATAATCGGCCATAAAACCCTATTCTAATTATTAAGGCCCTTACATCAAACTGCATGCAGGTGCCAGGCCCGAAGACCTTTGAAAATCCTCTCGATGTCAAAAGCAACCCGTCAACTTCGGGGTCAATCTGCACTATGTCTGTAATGTATGTATGCATGGATGGTTGTAGGGTTTAGGGTTTAGGGTTTTGTAGGTACGAACGGATAGATGAATACATGGATAGGTAGGTAGATAGACAGATAAACAGTTTAAGTAGAAAGTTTCCAGGTTAGCGCTTGATCCTGATAAGCGGCTGAGCGCGGAAGACGCCACCCGGTCGCAGTTTGAGTTGCGGGGTGTCGGGCTGCTGGTTTAGGGTGTAGAGTGTAGGGCTTAGGGGTTAAGGTTTTAGGGTTTGGGAGTTTAGGATTTATGGTTTAGGGGTTTAGGATTTCGGGTTTATGGTGGGGGTGTAAGGTTCATGGTTTAGGGGTTAGGGTGTATAGGGCTTTGGGTTTAGGGGGTCCGTGGCCGCGGCCACGACACACAGATGCGACCTCCGGACAGAAAGCTCAACATGGACTGATGTGAACAGCTTTTTCAACATAAGGTGACCTTGGCCTACTTTGATTTCACAAGGGGGTTTCGAGACGATGTGCGAGCTTTTTTCCCATGCGTCACGTTGAAGCCGGGGAAGACACTGACAGTGAAGTCATGACAAAGACAGAGCCCCACCGGCATGCACAGGGCCTTTGGGTTTCGGTTTCAAAAGCGCACTCGGACTTGCCCCTACACCCTGCGCCCCAAACTAAAAGATTCCATACTCAAAGCTTGCAACCCGGGACCTCTGCAAGCCCATAAAGCCTCAGACAAACATGGCAACGGGTCTCAGGTTTCGGGACACGCGATAGAGTCCTAGAGCCCCGAAATCCGCGCCGACTTCCTAGGGTTTAGGGCTTACCCATAGTCTCCATTGTAGCTCCTTAATTCGGGGATACCTTATACAATCATATAATTGGTTAAACCAAAAAAAGGGGCTACAATGGAGACTATAGGCAGGGTTTAGGGTAAAGGTCCTATTCTGGATTCATAATCACATAAAACTCATTCCGCAAACGCACACCGCCCTCACGTCCTATTCTGAAAATTTAACACCACCCCTAAACCCTAAACCCTAAACCCTAAACCCTAAACCGAGCCAACCCCCGGCCTGAAGCCGTCGACTCACATCCTGGAGCCGAATGACCGAAGCTGTGACTGCAGCAAGTCTTCGAAGCGCTGTACCTACAGTTACATTGTAGTTCCTTTTTATGGCTTAACCAAGTATATATTAAGGATTGTATAAGGTATCCCCAAAAAGGAACTACAATGGAGACTATAGGTAGGGTTTAGGGTTTAGGGGAAGCTCAAATCTCAAAAGACTGGTACAGAGGTCTGTCGGCACAATCACTACAGATCTTTTGTCCTTATCGCCTCATGTCTACACCATGCTATACTAAAGCACACCGTCTCAAAACGAGCCTAGTTCAACCGTTGGCGCCCTATAACCAAGAAACTCCAGAAAGCCTCTCCAGATCGCGGTAAGGGTTTTTTGTTTTTACAAGACTTACCGAGGCCCTAAACCCTAAACCCTAAACCCTCTTTACAAGACTTACCGAGGCCCCTATTTTGTCTTGCCTCTAATTGAAGCAGCGTTGAGACGTTGATTTCGCCGAGGCCCTGAAGCATCACTTCGTCGAGGATCCCAGGGAAAAGAAAGCCGCAGCAGCTGCCGCGCCGAACGCTTCAGGCGGGGGCTCGGGTTTAGGATTTCACGACTGTAAGGCTTTCGGGTATGGGGTTTATCTTTTGAGTTTTCGGGTTTAGATGTAGGGCATGGAGTTTATCGTTTTGGGTTTTGGGATTTCGTTTTTTGGTGTTTGCCTTGGGGTCTGGGATTAGAGTTTAGAGTTTTGGGGATTGAGGCGTATGGCTCCAGTCTCCCTGAATCACTGCATCCCAATGCTGCTCAGGATCCCATCTAGCCTTCTTGGAGGTGGTCCTGTTGTTGGCAGTACGTACAATGAACAAGAAACTACATCACTAGTCGACCCCTACGCGCAAATCCTGAAGCCTGAAACCGGCAGTGATTCGTGTGAAACTTAGACCACGAATCCCAAACGAAACTAAGCAACTAGGGTTTTAGAGTTTAGGGCCTTTCCTTCGCCAAGGCCCCACCCAAGTGCCGCCATCGGCGACTGGGAGAACCTCCTCTGGGAAAACCTCCGCTGGCCACAAGAAAAGGTGCGGTTGGGGGCGCTGTCTTTGTGGGTTTAGAGTAATGGCCCCTACCTTAAGAACCCCAAACCCATTTTTTTTGTAGGTTCTGATCATAAACCCTAATATGGGATTAATAGGGACCCTACAAAAAAAGTAGGTTTTGGGTTCTGAAGGTAGACTCTAAACCCTAAACCGTGTTTGGCGTCGGGTGTCGGAGTGTACGGGCTCAGGGATTGGGACCAAGTAGAGACCCCCGGATAGTTGGACCCTTAGGCCTTTCTGGGGACCCTTAAGGGTACATATAGGGTATATAGTAGGTATATAAGGATGACTCTTGAGAGGATTAGCCGCAAAGAAAGCCCCATAAAGCAAAGCCCGTTCTAGATAGAAGTTGTTGAAACCCACATGTAAGACCTGGTCCAACTACTTAGGCTTCTCAAGCAAGTAGGCCCCTAAACCCTAAACCCGAAGCCCTAAACCCAAAACCCTAAAAAAAAAAACCTAAACCCTAAGGGCCTAAACTCAAAGCCCTAAACTCTAAGCCCTAAACCCTAAGCCCCATGAACCTTTAGCCCCGTAGTGAACTCCGGCCACTTGCAGTGCGGGGCTTTGAGGGTTGGGACTGTAGGCCCTAACTTCAGGGTTTATGTATAGTCTCCATTGTAGTTCCTTTTGGGGATACCTTGTAAAATCCTTAATATACAATTGGTTAAGCCAAGAACAAGAACTACAATAGAGACTATAGGTAGGGTTTAGGTTTAGGGCTTTAAGGTTTCCAGGGCTTGGGGTTTGAAGTTGAGGATTTGCGGCTTGGGGTTTAGCTGGGGTTGAGGGTTTAGGGTTTAGCAACCTAATCCCTAAACCCTAAACTCTAAAAACAAAAAGACAGAAGCTGTTGCATTGCTGCCTGCCAGGTCTGAGAGATAGCCGCGTCGGAGATGTGAGCGTCTGTGCCTATCATGGCCTCTTGATGCTTGGTGGAATAGGTTCTCCACTTTACAAGACAGCCCCATAGATGTATGAGGCCAACCAGAGCCGTAAACCTTAAACCCTAAACCCTAAACCCTAAACACCCTAAACCCTAAACCCTAAAACCCTAAACCCTAAACCCTAAACCGCCCGACACCTAGGCCATGAGGGGGGGCCAAAGCCCGAAACAATCAAAGCTGGACTAAGAGAACCTGATCTCCCCCAATTAGTCGACAAGGACGCCCCTAGAAGAGCGGCCCAAGCGAATAGAAAACTCGAGTGTCTGATACTCTAGCATAGCCAAACCAGGATCCCTGCGGAAGAGTACGGCAGACATTCAAGCCACCGAAAACTTATAAAGCATACAATCCTAATCCCTGGCCCGAAACCCCACAACCCTACATGCTAAACCCTAAACCCTAAACCCTGAACCCTGAACCCTCAACCCTCAACCCTCAACCCTCAACCCTCAACCCCTAAGCCCTAAGCCCTAAGCCCTAAACCTTAAACCCTAAACCCCTAAGCCCCAAGCCCTAAGCAAGCTCCGAAGAAAGCGGTCCGATCTCCGATCCTCGAATACCTACAAGGCTCAAAACGCGAGGCTTCGCTGCAGGCGGTGGTTGAACGGAGACCGAGGGATGATGGTGATGACGCTTGGGGTTAGGGGTTTAGGGTTCAGGGTTTAGGATTCAGGGTATTTAAGGTTTAGGGTTCAGGGTTTGTTT